TACAAATTAAAATAATAGGTAGGTATATTATATAATATATTATTTATATATTATTATCGTCATGATATTTACACAATGATTTTTGTATAGTTATTTTTAAGAAAAACAATAATAAAAATGAAAAAAAAAACTAAGTACACATTCGTCTATAAGTTCATAAATCGTATCTTTGAAAACGATACACATCAATAATAAGTAATTTTTATTATAATATATTATATAGTTATATAACGATCAAAATAACAAAAAAAATCAAATAAAAATAATAATTATAATTTTATAATATATATATATATATATACTTATCTATCGAAACGTAGGTAAATAATGATAATAATACATTTATAATATTTATTTATATAGTATGTAAACGTCTAATAATAATTATAATATGTTTTCAATAATACATTTATCTTATAATATTATATATAATATATAGATCATATTTGTTTGGAACATAAACACTTACACACGTAGAGATTCACAATTAATAATACACACATAATAATAATAATAATATATAATCTTAGGCTAACACATTCATATAATATAATAATATTAGGTACTATAATATATATAAATAATGTATATAATAACGTATAACACATAATATAATATAGTTTTATATGTAATAATAATAATAATAATTTATTAATATTTTATTGTTCACCTGTACAGGGCGCAGCCTCGCAATACTATGAAATACAATATAATATAATAATATAATTATATTATATTGTCATAGCTCGCCCGCCGCTTAAAAGATAAGTATAAATGTTTGGGATTAAAACGAAGAAAAAAAAACACACTAACATTTCGATGGCGAAATGGTTACCTTCACGAGGGTGGTTGCGGTTACGCGGTGAGGGGGTTTGTCTCGGTTCAATCGTACCCTCGGACGCCATTCTAATATAATGTACCCAAACTTTGGGCGAGTTTTCGTAAACTTATTGTATATCGATGGCCATCATTAAAGCGGACTAAAGTACACACGTCGCATAAACTGTTAAAAGATTATCTCACAAGTCACAATAAATGTATGAAATTATTGTTCAGTCGAGTTTCACAGTTTTTAGGACTTGAATGGATTTTTTTTTTCACTACCAAAATACTAATATTATCTAAAACAATTATTTAAAAAAAAAGTCGATTTCCACCTATAATACAATATGTAGACAAGAAACAAGGATGGGGAATATTATATATCGAAAAAAACAAACAGAACTTAATATTACCTATACTATGCCATACTTTGTTGAACGGTACTTTAACGGTACAATTTTTTTCGGGTTGGAGGGGGGGGGTAGACACAGAACTTTATAATAATATTATTTATAAGTGTGCAGCGCTTTTCAAGCCATCGATATCGTCACGTATTACCCACTTAGAAGTGTATATTAAGATAATATGAAGAGCGACGAGCAGATTTTCACCTGCGAGGAGCATACACCTCGATACGATTAAACAATAATAATATTATAGTCTTATAATATGATATACAGTCGAACGGGGGAAAAGTTATTATAATATTTTGAAGGGAGGAAGTGACAGCGGGGTCGGTATGCGAATGGAAGTGGCGGCGAATTCGGTACCTAACCCAACAGGCGAACCGGAGACTTCAACGACACGACTCGGAGATGACTCGGTTTGACGTACAGGGTGATTATGTCGTCACGAGATCGATGTTTCTGGACCTATATATACATATATAGTGTAACCTAACCTTGGACCAGTCGGAACAAGCAGGATTCCAGAGCAGGGTGTCGCGGAAAAGTAAAATTCGAAGACAATTTAGAAGAATATAGGTTGGTATAGGCCATATTAAAATTCTAAAAACGCATTGTTTAATTCATGTATTTTGACATTTATCGACATAATATTATTTAAGAAAAAATTGAATAAAGTAGGAAGTATTTTTCGTTTGACGATGTCAGCATCGCATACATAATATAATATAGCTCGTGAAAGAGCCTATATAGATCGATTTTTTTTTTTAAATAAAATTATAATATATCTAATGACTTTATGTTCGAGAACAAGCCGATTTGCAATAAAATTGATATAATATAATATTAGGTCTACCATGCGTAGGGTTCAAAAATTTTGGGGCTTGTCGAACTGCACCATTATCCAAACCGAAATATTCGAATTGCATCACTCGGCGGTTCAAAAGAGGTATAATGTTCGAAGTGGGCTCGATCCGATCATTCAGCAGAACTATTATGAACAGATATTAATTTTAGACGATGATATTTCGTGTGTGCTTTGATCGATTGAATAGGTGTTAAAAGGACGTAGGTAAATAGTTTAGAAATAAACGCAAATGCATATTTTTATATTATTATTTTCAAATTTAGTTGATGATATATTTTAAATAAATTGTAACTACCTACTTATTTATTTGAAGAAAAAAACTGATTTTCTTGTCATTAGTTTTAAATTGTTGACATAATATTATTATAATAAAAACAATAAACTTATTTAGACATATAATATTAACCTAAGCATTGTTGTCACAGCAAATTTTCGTTCACTAGTTTCAATAGTGTGCTTTTAGTTTTGATATTAGAGTGAAACGACTTATTAGGAAAGAAAATTATTTCAATTTTCAAGCAAGATATTTTGATGATTTTTAATTTGTGACATTTTCTTCGACTCTTAAATACAGATAATGTTCTCACATGGCACTGAGGGTGGCGAATGTCTACTGCACTGTTTCCAAAGCGGCTATAATGGCGGTAACCGGGATTATCCCCATTCACCTGCTCGCTTTGGAAAAACGTGAAAGAATGGCAGTGACTAAGAACTATAGGCCAGAAGGAAAGCGTTGAGTGCATGGCAGAGAGAGTGGGGTGGGGCTGCGACAGGACGTTGGACTCACAGGCTAGGTTAGGTTTTATAATATAGGTCAATATAATATTCATTCTAATATTAAAACTAACAGCACACTATCGCTACAAGTGAACGAAAATGTACTATATCGTAGGTACCAAGACGTCGTAAAACGATAATATATTAATGTCTAAACAATAGTTCATTGATTTGATTATACGATTTACCTATTCTTCCGACGCGTCCGTCGACTGCAATCGTAAACAAAATAAAAATTATAAGTGGGTATTATGTTGCATGAAACCGAGCTATTACAGGATTGTAATATATATTATAGGCAGTAAATGACGAGTGCAAAATTCGAACAGTTTATTATTACCTCTCTCTGTCCCGGCTGCAGCAATATAGTTCTACCAAAAAACGAGTGCAATTCGACCTTATACCCACTTGATTATAACGGCATATTAAATTTTTAATAACATTTAAATTATATTCTGTTGGGTTTCGAAAATCGACTATGGGGTTACTTGTAGACAGGGATCATATTCATACGCGGGGGGGGGATGGGTTTCGATATCAACTAAACGTTATGACGGCTTTTGTTGACGGTATTATATATGTTATTAATTATTATTGTATTGTCTCGATTCACGACAAATTCATGTTGAGAGCCCGAAAAAATAAAAAAATTGGTCGTTGTGCCATTTCCGACGACAGAAAAAATAGCGTTACTTCCGCCGAATTATTCTCCGTTTCCGACAAATTGGTAGGGTACCTATAGGTACAATTTGTTCCCTCGGGTGTATAGAACCTACGGTTGCTCTTCCGTTCACCTATGTATACATTTTTTAAAACTATTTAACCATGCGTCTCCGAAAATAACGTTTCAGAACAATTTTTAGTATGTCCGACAAAACCTTGTATGCGCCGATGATAACCGAGTCGGAAACAAATCGAAATTTATTTTAAATTTGTTTATTTACACACTATAAAACCTAACGAAGAGTAAAATATTATGTACTAAATTAATATTAACCTGTATAGTTTCGTATCATATTAAATAGATGATCTATATGTAATCGAATCGGTTGGGTTCGGATAGAGAGGGAACAAAAATTGAAAGATGTAACACAAGACGTGTCCTGCAGTAAAATATTAATTAGTGTCTTATACCCATCGGTATAATATGATTTACAGATATTTGTACCTACAGGTACGTTGTTCGCGAATTATTGATTTGTTTACGAACTTTTGCCATTTTTTTTATCGTTTCCCAAATCGTCGGAAACAAAAGCGACACCTTAGAATATTAATCGGTCGTCGCACCGGCCAAGTATTACATCGGCTCGGTGGTGGGGTTGACAGGGGTGAATCGGAGGGGTGGTCCTCCGGTTGCGATCCACACGATATTATTATGTTGTGATAATAATATTATATGGATTGCCGAGGGGGGTAGGACTTGAGTTGTTTTTCACGAACTCGGACTTGATTTTTTTACTAGAACGCAGTTCGAACTATGTCAAACTTTCAAAAATAATTTAACCATAACAAATTTTAGAATAATATAATAATAGTAGTGAAAGAGCACTTAAAACAAAACAAAAAAAAAAGAAAATTAAAACTAATATTCCTCGTCGCACTCGAACCGTTCGTACTTGATTGTGCCCGAATACTATTCGAAATTTCTTAAAGCTCGAGGTGTTCGAAGAGTTCGAGAAACGACCACTAAATAAAATATACATTTTACTACACACGATATCATCACAGATTATATAAAACCAGACGGTGCACTTCCTCAGTTCAAGCCATGTAATATTCTCAAAAATGTAAACAACTGATATTTTAGCGCTCACGTCGAATTCCTAACCATTTTAATATTATAGTAAAGGCGTTTTACAATAATTTATTCCTCATATGTGATAACTGATAACTATACTGCACCGGGGTAGGTTTGAGTCGTGCAGAAGTGCACCGTCCGGGGTCTTAGATAACCTGTGATATCATCATCGTTATAATAAAATATATTTTTATATCGTGCGCGTATCTATCGTTATACCGATATCGTTTCCGAACGACGGTTACACAATATATAACGTTACATAACAATATTATTACAATACGACTATTTCATCAGCCTTTGTTGCGCCGCGGACTCCTCGAGCGGCCGTTCAGACGTGCGTGGCCAGCGTCTGCCGCTTGGCCACGCCGATGTGATAGTTGGGCCCGACGGGCACGGCGGCGGCGGACGGACCGTGACCGGCGGCGGCGGTTTTCCGCTTGCCCTTGCCGACCGCGCTGTACGGCGGCGGTTCGGGCCGGCCGTACGCGTCGTACTTCTGCAGCGGCCGCGGCGGTTGGGCCGGCCACTGCGCAGACGCGGGCCTCAGGTAAGGGTTGCCGTACGTGGCCGAGTACTGGAGCAGCGTGGCCGGGTCGCCGCCGGTGGACGGCCTGGCGGTCGCGTCCAAAGACAGCTTGGGCGATGGCGACGAGGACGACGACGAGGACAGAGCGATGACCGTCTGCGGCGGAGGCATTTGGTCGTACAGCCGGTCGGCCGCTATGTAGCCGTTGTTGCTGCTGGTCGGCCGGTCCTGCGAGAGGCGAAAAAAAAAATTTTAATTAAAATCACAGACACGTCGTCATCATTATATAATAATAATTATAAGCATCTAGAGACGTACAATCTACTTAAATTTTTTTGTTGGTATTTTACCGATAAAAACCACGTAAATTCTGTAAATTTGGTAAATTTGGTAAATTTTGATATTTTTGCCATGTTGTCGTAGGGACACTCCCCCCCTGGAACTCCTCTTCTCTACCCATTTTATTCGTGAACTTATAATATTATGGTAGCTCTAATTTTTATCGTTTATCGGGTAGGTATATTCATGCGGGTATTATACATTGATAACTATTTTTAAGTACTTTTAATAGTGTATTATTAACTTTTGCATATATTTTAAATTACTAATTTATATGGACGTAAATATTAAAAATGTACCTATATAAAATAAATTGTGAATCAATCAAATCAGGTTCATCAGGCACTTATAACATCAACAGCAACCCGGTGATACCATCATAGACGATAGACCACGATAAAATCAAACTTGTTAATTAATGTTGTGGTACTTAATGGTCATAATAATATTTGATAGTATCTATGGTATATAATACTTATAATACACTATCAATAGTTGTGGGCGTGTTGAACGATCAGACGTTTTATACATTTTATACCAACTACCTATTCCATTCTACTGATATGTTATAAATATTCACCTCGTTAAGACATTTAAATTGAGTTTAAAAAAATAATTGGTAAATTTACCGAGCTAATATCTCTATAATAATCTATATAAAATTAAATTAAAAAGCTGCCGGTTGGTTACAGCATCAAACGAGGAAGGCCTAACCGATATTTGGCTCAATGTTTTTTTTAAGAAAAATGTTTGTAATATTCCGAATGAGATTTTTACGAAAAGAAAAATGGGAAAATTGAAAAATTTGGGAGAAACTAGAATTTTCCATGGGAATTTTTATATAAGCAAATCCATTGCATGTTACATACTATTGATATTATAATTAGTTGTAGAAGCAATTTTTTTTCCGTTACATTAATGGTTGCCAGAAGGTTAGATACATAATATATTATTATAATTGATCGGGTATAATAATATTTTAATATTTGGTCACTATATTTTTAACTTTATCCGGAGTCAATATAGACTCGAAAACTACTGGACCGTGTTTTAAAAGTTATACTGACAGATTCCTTGAGAATTGGAGGGTGTTTGTAGATTATTTTATCAACCCTTATAGGTATATAGCTTAAGGGTATATAATAGCTCACACATGAATTTTTTTCGACCCTCTGGTATATACATTTTTTTTTACAAACATATTTATAAAAAAAAATAAACAAATCTTTAGCACGGGAAATGCCGGGCTGGACAGCTAGTTTAATAATAATAATTCAACAACATAACGACTGGCCTAATGGCGCCGGGGACGGGATTTTAACGCACTGAAATAAAGCGATAAAAAAAATGCAAAATGTATATTTTTATAAAAGCAATTTTGTTTTTCGATATAGAGCCCGTCCCTGGCCGGACTTGTGCGATGCCCGGTGCAAAAACAGTAGGCATCAAGCGAGGTGTACCATAAATTTACATAGGTACTATAATACAATATTATGTACATAAAGTATATGTCTCGAGCTTAAATAATTAGTCGACATTTCTATTATATACATTTTAATTCGATCGTATTATCTGGACCGAAATATTTTGAAACACTGAATTATGACTACCTACTTTAAACTTTTAACTCATTGAATTATTTTTTTACTCTCCCGAGTTTGACTTATTATTATTAATCATTAATTCCTCCTCTAATAGCCCGGGCAACTTGAAAACCGTCGTGATCACGTTATTGAATCATCGCTAATTAATGATAATGTAATTATATAAATTACAGACAGATAGTGTCTCACGCCCCGCGTTTGCGTTCCCGTCAATTCACTTTTTTGATATTAAATAATTAATATTTTTGTATACAAATTAATACCAAATTAGTACTTCTTGCATCACGGCATTAGAGCACCGCATCTATATCATAATGAATTCACAGTATTTTATGGTTTGGCTTAGCTGGAGAAAAAAAAATTAAAAACAAAATAATAATATGTTTGTCTCGCGTTTTAAGAAAAAAATCTTGGACGGCCCTGCAGCTTATAGAGCTTTGATTTATGTAAGTAAACATTCTGAAAGTTAAATTATTAATTTCCATTACATTTTCAAATAGTATAATAATATGTAACGCAGGTACCAAAGTCTTAATGTTTATACTTAGCAGCGGGCGGATGGACGCATTAGGCGTACACCGTATTTACGTCTCACCTTCACCTGCATCGTTGGTGGTGGTGGAGGGGGAAGATGGATCTCTTCCCTTATTTTTATTCCATCTAAGCCGCAGTTTATGTTTACGACATTTAAAAAGTGAACAAATTATTAATAACGATATATTCGTCTCTGGATAACTAAAATATATTATATAGGTTTTAAGTAATAAGTAGGATATGAAACTACGGACAAGACATGTTGACGAAACCAGGATTCGGTCCTGTTTGAATTCTATAATATGCCAACACGAATTAAATCTAGAGTATAAAATCGCAGCAGTATGTTAGATGATATGTGTTTCTCAATTCTATATTACATTATAATGTATAATGTTTGGACGCAATTGCAGGACACGAAATGAGTCCAGGCCTATAAATCGGCACGCCCGTGCCATATTATGATGAATTATCACGCGTCTGCAGATGCCATATTGTAATATGATCGAATGAGTTGAGGGCGAGAGGTGGGGATGTAACCCATCCTCGACCCTGCCGTAGGTTTTAATATATTATGTGGTTTATGAACGAGGGGGGAGCTGAAATCCCCACTCGGGCGGGGCTAATCTGAGCTCCCCGAAACCCTACTATAAATGTGTCTATATATATGGCTGTATGAGACTATATTACCTATTATAGCTTTAATTTTAAGATTTAGTCTTACACCCCTAAAATTGTTTACATACGATATAGGTACCTATCTAATTGTTGTTGCTGTATTTTAAACTTATTTTATCAAAAAAAAATATATATATAATTTAGTCGTACGCGGCACACCTATTAGGTGTACGACCTAACCAGTAACCAAGCACGTTTATAGTTTTATCACAGATTAATTTTTAATTTGTATCATGGTTTTATTTGCTGTACAGGCAATTTAACGAACAGCTATAAAACGTTTCCAAGATCAATAAATATGTACTATGAAAAAAGAGGCATTTCGAATTCAAAGAAAGAAAATTCTTAAGAAAACCGTAACAACAATTTCGTTCGTTTCAGGTGGCCATGGACGATTCTCTCACTGCACCCCCCCCCCACACACCTCTAGACTTGCAGCTTGATGAACCCGCTCTACCAGCAATTTCCACCTATATATATATGTGTACACATACAGCATATAGTCAGGTGTTTTTCTCAGTTTGGGAGAGGGACGATTACTATTGGAGTTTAGACGAAAAAGCGCTTTTCGACGATTTCAATGTACATACCCGTGTCGCACACACACACACACACCCTCTTGCCATGTACATATATACATTGGATACGTCTCGAAAGCACACACACACACACACACACACACACACACACACACACATACCTATATATATATGTGTACACCTACGAACACTTCGGGTCGTGTGTATAAATCATTGTGTCCACTCGAGGGGGCGTGGGGGGGGGGGGGCGGCGACCGTTCCCCGGAGGATATACCTTCCTGGCAACGGCGAAATCGCCAAACGGACGAAGAGAAAACTTTTATCGCACTGGTAAGCACGTATAAAGCACACGCACACACACACACACACACACACACACGAGCGAGTGTAGACAAGTATGCGTCAAATATACATAATATTATATTATTACGGTATCGTGTTAGGTATATACCTACGGAAGTTATATACCGTAAAAGCTTGATATCTACAGGTTATGACCTATATATATATATACGACCTGAGACCTAGAACTGTTATAGGATCTCGGATCACCGGTCAGAGTCTTAAGAAAATTTCACTTTTCAGTATTATAACGTTCGTATATATTATATACTATGTACCTATATATGTATACGCATCATATTATTATCTTTTATGTACCTAATTTTTGTTCCTATTAATATCGTCATTGAATGTTAGTCAGTATCAGCTGATGTATGTACCTATTCGGTTCATAATGAAACAGAAGCAGCACTAAATATTACAATAACTCCACACATCAACGTACCCCTCTGCTTTGATTCGATCGAATTCGTCGTGGGCAATATATAGACTTTCATATAATATTTTATAATGAGCCACTTTTAACAAAATTACAATAAAATATGTGTCTGAACTTTCAACTTTTATAATTAATATCGTATTTTAGACGTGATAAAAAATATTTTAATGCCAGCGACTTAGCATCGAAATGAAAATATTTTCGTGTGTCCGTTATACAATTTTTCCAGCGACTGACGAGCGCCATAGGTTTATACCTTGACCTAGGTTTTAATGTTTTATATACCTTTAGGTAGGTAAGTACTCGAGTTATAATAATGCTATTGCTATAATAGGATATACTGTGATTATATACTCTGCAGTGGCGTAACTGTGAAAATCACAAACATTCTTACAGGTACTTTCAGGACTTGATCTTTTGGCGATCGGTAATAATGAGTTAGTGTTGGATTTTCTTATGCTGTACCTATACGCTATTAAGCTATAAATAATTATAATATATCATTACAGTAAACTCTCGTTAATCTTTTATAAACAAAAAATATAACTGTAGTCATTTGTCATGCACTTATTAAATTCTACTTAAACACTTAAACTCGGAAATACCACATTCTTGAGTGTTATAAGAATATACTCTGTGCATAATAATAATATTTTCACCGAACCGAGAATTATTCAATAAAATAACGACGTTATGATACTAAAACCTAATTCATTTCGATTCAGCTTTCGTAATACTTGAGCATCCCAGACC